AGTGTCAATTTTTTTAAGCCTGTCTATATATTGCCCAGTATTTTTTCTTTAGTTGCCAGGTGATAAATTGGTTGACAGCAGACTTTTATACAGGTGATGGAAATATCACACCCAAATATTATGCTGACCCTCAGAAGCCCTCTCATCATCCGCTGGACACTGTCCTTCTTTGTTCTTCACACACAGAGGACAAGACTGAGATACAGGAAAGCAAAGAAAAACAGAAAGGAGATAGGAAGTAAGGGAGATCTAAGAGAGTTTTTTATGGGAAGGACAGATGGCAATACAGGTGGAGACAGCAGGAGGGGCAGAGATGAAGGCAACATAATCAGATGTTGGAAAAATACGGTGTTTGATTATTGTAATTTCCTCTCCCTCTCTCTAAAAGGTCTGTAGCACATCATTAAAAGCTCATTTGTACTTTTCCCAAACTTCTGCCCCTCTGCATTGATTCTGTCTCATTGGTGCTCTGGTGATTAAGACGACTGTCGTTTGTTGGCGTATTGACCTCCCAATCGACACAGTTGTCAAGAGGAGTGAACTTCACATCCAAGCCCTCATGTTATATTTATGATCTAATTTAATGTGTACAAATATACATATTCAACCATCATGTAAAGTTTTACATTTTTATTTCTAATTTCTGCAGTTAGTTAGGTCCTCTGACACAGAGAATTAAGCTTTATGGGATTAGAAGTTTTAGTCTTCTGGTGATTTTCTTTCTTTTGTCTGTTGAAAGAAAAGAAAGGTGACATTAGGTAATGATGACAGATATAGATAATTAGCTTTAAATGACACATCTCATTCACAAGTAGCCTATTCCTACTGTACATTATGTATCACACAAGGAAACAAGAGTACAAGTGTCATCTCAGTCAAAATATGTGTGTACTGCACTCCTCAAAGAACAATGAAAGGTTTGTTGTGATTTGGTTATGCCACATATGAAAATTTAGTTGTGAATGTGTTTACGTGCCTACAGTATTATCTGTGTTTAGGTACTGAAAATGAGCAAAGAAATTTATATTAAAATGATCAAATGCAACCACAAAGCATCTACCATATTTAAATAGAAATGTGTATTCGCTACAAACAACAAACAACTATATTATGGAAATGTGGCTTCTGAAGAAGAGATGCTACACTTCTGGAACAGCTTCCAGTGGAAACTAGAAGTGCAGTGGACTTGTGGCACAGCAACTATAGCTTCGGGTTAATAGATGTGTATCTGCAACCAATATGTTGGTTTAGGACTGCAAAATTACATTTCCATCTTTAGCGCTTATTAGCAAATTCTAGCGTGCTAACACGCTAAATTAAATTGGTGAACAGTCTTGTGCAAGATCACACTTCACAACAGCTAGCTCAAAGTTCAGTTCATATACATTAAAATTATTTTTTTTATTAAAAGTACATGTACATATGCTTTTTGGGGATTTTAATTAAATTAGAGTATATAAGGTATTGTAAGCTAGTGGTTAAGGCGCAGCGCACTCACTGCTGCGGCCCGGGTTCGAGTCAGAGTTGTTCAGGAAGGGCATCCGGCATATAAACACGTGCCAAATGTCAACATGCGAGTTGTCAGTGTGACGATTCACTGTGGCAAATTGTTTACAGTGTACCATGTATCAGTTTTTTTAAATATATATTTACTATTTTATGATAACCATGTGATCACATGCAGGCTATATTAAAATACACTTTGTGTTATATCCTCAGCATCTGGGGATTGACCTAGAAAGTAACAAAATAATAGCATTCTGGTATTTTGTATGTTATATTTTGAAGCTCTGCTTTACAATGACATCTTCAAGGGAAGAAAGGAAATGTTCCTAATACAGGTTTGAAGTAGCCAGTTTCTATTAAGTTATTTAATTCATTTAGGGTATTAAATCTGTACTGTGTATATTAGTGATATATCAATATCACCATGGCTATACCTGGATAGTCTTTGCTGGTGGATCTCTATAAATACTCCGCCACTGAACTCAGTGTCTCCTCGCCGGTCTCTCTCTCCACTCTACACTTCAGCTGTCTGCTTCAGCTTAAGGCTGCATTTGTTTTAAGTCTTATGTTACTTAGTTGCAAAGTGAGGTCAAATGTTCATGGAAAAATGAGTATATTCAATGAAAGACAACACTCTTTTAGTGTGCACATCGCTGATGGTGAACATTGTATCTGCTAAACCTCTACATATAAGCATTTAATTGTGAGCATGTTAGCATGCTGGTTTCAGCTTTTACAGCTGAAAGAAGAATCACACACAAAGCTTAACTCTTACCCTTGTCTAAACAGGAGACATAGCATGAATAGCACATTAGCAGAGCAGCAGCAGCTGTTTCAGTCTATGTCTACACAAGATGCATTCAGGTGCAGTATTAAGTGTAGGTCATCAAATTTTGGAAGCCCCCAGCCAAACACAGAAAACAGAAGTAAACAGACAGTCACGTTATTAACTGTACTGTCGTAATTAGGTGTTCTGTGTATGAATACAGAATTATCTGTTCATCTGTGAAAAATGTCAGGTGATATTTTAGACAGTCTTTTCAGAGTGAATATTCTGTATCTAACGATTAATTGACTTATGAATTACCCAGAAGATAAAGTGTTAACCATAACTCTCAGTGCAATAACTGTGAATATATCTCTTACAGATCATACAGAGTCGTACAGTCCTCTGTTTCTTGCATTGTTTACTGCCGTCTATACTTCTCATTTTGCATTGTTTGCACTGTTTGTTGCTTGTTAATACTGCTTATTTTTGGTATATTACACAGCCTATGCTAGTTAGTGTTTACTTGCCCCTTGCCCTGGTCTCTATTTTAAGTACTCTGTTTTTATTCTACCTCATTCTTATTATCACATCTCGATGAGCATTCCCATCTGTCTGCATTTTTTTACTGCCTGTTTATACTGCTTAATTTTGCATTGTTTGCCCTGGTTGTTGCTTGTTAATACTGCCTATTTTTTCATTATACAGCCTTACACTGGTCTACTGTTTACTTGCCCCTTGCATGGGGATATGTATATACACATTGAGAGCCGATTTACCAGAGTCAAATTCCTCATCTGTCCAACACACCTGGCCAATAAAGCTGATTCTGATTCTGATTAATTGTGATGTAACAATTTGCAATAGTGATTTCATAGAAGGCTGCTGAGGAACAAATTGTTCCTTGTTGCCAAGTGAACCTCTTTTTTGCATTGCTTTGTGTTACTGCATTTGATCTGTTTTGATTCCTTGACAGCTGGATTGAATGTGATGACATCTCTGGGCCTGCCATGCTCTGTGTGTATCTTCTGTAATTGGTAATGCTTGATTTTGTTGTTTCACAGGCAGAAAACCAGGACAGAAATCTGTCTGTGCATAGACAGTCAAACCAACAAGGCAAGATGTAAGAAGTACAAAGAGGGAATATTGCTACTGATAGATCAAACCTCAAATCAATGGAGTCAGCACAAGACAAGAATTCTCTCTCTCTCTCTCTCTATTACTCTGTAACACATACACACAAGTACACAGGCTCATTAAAGTAAAGTCAGAGTGGAAGAGCATCGGACAGGCAGGTATGCCGTTGGGATGAAGGAGATTTTAGACTTCATAAAGGAAAGTGAACAAATTGACCCCCTGAATGAGGGAACTGTTTCATTACATGCCCCTTGGGTGTGCAGGGTAATAAGGTTAAAGCTAGGAGCACACACTACAAGATTAAAAGGTACAGGCAAGATGGAGTGAAGATGGAGATGTAGCCATTGTAGCAATGTAATGACTGTGTTGCAAAACACCAACAAACACATGCCACACTGCCTCTAGTTTGAATTCAGTTCTCAGGAGTAACTGAAATTCAGATGACAGGTAGACAAGAATCAAATTCCTTCAACACTAGTTATAAGACTGTAGCAATGATAAGCTATCTGTACTCTAGATCACATGAAAAGGTTATCTGATGGGTCCAGGCATGCAGTGTAATCTGTTTCATTCAGTAGATAACAATTTTTTTTTCACTTTTTCTTCATGGATGCAACACAAGTATTCCAAAGAAGAATCCTCATTGCTACTTGAATTGAAATGTTTTCTGTTATGTCTGTCTCATGGAAGAGTTAAACCTCAATTTTCAGCAATTTTCATCTTGATAAAGAATATATACCACCCATTGAATTGAATGGGAAAGTGTGTTGATTTAAATAAAAATATACTGCATGAATGTATGTTGATAACTACAGTAGCTAGCCAGGTGGTGTGCTTAAATAAACCCTAAATAGTACTGTAAAACAATGTCATTAACCAGATAACACAGAAAATAAACCAGATAACACAGAATATATCTGAATATAGAACAGATCTGAGATATGGGCAATTATTCAAATCACACAAATTTACTTGTCTTTACATTGTGAATTTAACATTTAACATGGGCATATAAAGCTTCACTGAGCAGAATAAATACTCGTGTATTCTCGTGTACACTACTTGAAAACTGTTTACTCCACGGAACCGATCAATGGTGTTGATGACATTTTTGTGATTGGTCACCCTGGTGAGGACACCCTCTCGCCCGCTGTGTTTTCAGCACCCCAGTATACTGTTAGGGTTGCTCTCGTTTTTCCATTCTCGTGCCTTTATTTTTGGGCCTTTTTTTCTTTCCACTTCACCTCACCCGTTCCAGCTTTACCCTGGTCCTCAGTCTCCACGCATTACATTCACCTGTCCCTCACTATCTCTTTGCCATCTTTTGCCATCAGGTACATATACTCCTCCCTTCCCTCAGTCTTATGCCAGTTCATACTGCTTTGTTACTGCCACATACCTGGTTCCGCTGCATGTATTGAGGAAGCTTCTCCTGAACTCTTGGCTCTGTTTTGTCGAATTCTTTACCTGAAACTCGAACCTTTTTTGATAAGCTATATAAGACGAACTGCATTCTACCCCCTGTGAGTACAAGCCGAACTGCAATCTACCTCCCATGAGTACTCCTGCCTGTCTGCTGTCCTGTTGTCAGTCCACCTCTGTTTACACACCATGTTCCTTCGTGAAACTCACCTGTGACGCTGACAAGCAGCCTCAGAGAATTTCCCTGCCTGCCTCCAACCCAATCATCTGTCCTCCTCTGGCTAACTCTCCTTAGAAACCCCCAGTGATGCCAACTAGCAACTTGTCCCTTGTCCTTCCTGGTTATACGTCGCTCTCCACCTCATCTACTTGCCTGCAATCCAGACAAGGGTAAAGTGCTCTCTGTGGCAGTTTGGCAGTTTGTAGGTTGTCCTGCCAGCTAGCCAAGCCATACCTGCCACAAGTCAACCACCTACGTCTGTCCTCTGGTCCTCCTGGTGCCTGCCATCTCCTGCCGACTCACTTGCATGCCCAGGTAATAATAAATATAATAACCATGAAATATTTGGACAGTTCAAAATGAGATTGAAATTCAGCAAAATTATTGTTTAGTTGATTTGATTTAAAAACATTTTGCTTTACCAGAATTTACTGCAGGAAATTGCAACCATATCTCTCCACAACCCCCACGCCCGCTGGTGAACTGCAAGTAAAAATGTGCCTTGTCTACAGCCCTGGGTGTGAGCATAATAGAGGGCTTTTGTCATACAATACACTACCCATAGTGTGTATTAGAGTTACACCTTTCATTTCTTATCATTTCATTTGAAGCTACAGCCAGCAGTATAGCTTAGCACAAAGACAGGAAACAGAGGAAATAGCACAAAATTTGTTGCTTTAAATCAGCCTACCTACCTCTTAAACTAACTGATTAATTCATTCTGTCTCTTTTATTAAAGTCATACAAAAACCAAGATGTAAAAAAGTTGTGGCTTAAAAAAAGTTATGTTCCAAACTACTTCTTTGTTGGGCACAGTGGCTAGACTTTTTGAATTGTTGTCTAAAGACAATTTTTGAGGTAGCCATCACCTGGATGTACTGTAGATTCACATTTACAATCCCAGCCGACAGAGGGTGAGGTACTGTAAACCCTGGGTAGGTCACCAGTTTTTCACAGGGCAACAGTGTTAACTACTGCTCCACCGCACCACCCTTAGATGAAGTTTCTAACTCAAATTAAATAATCTTTCTGTGTCATTGTTTCATATAAATGAGCAGTGATGGTAAGCATGAAACAGAAGGCCTGTCTAGTTATCCTGCAGCAGTATTTTGACCTCTAGTGACTAGATCTGTCTTTCCATAATATTGTCACATCTTTGAGCCCAGCCCAAAATGCATGTCCATCAATAATGCAACCAAGATTTTTGCACTGGACTGGTGGTTTGCTTCTACACAGGGTGCAGTGGTAAAAGAGAATTTTTGATGCGTTGTTTTTGTCAAAGCAAAAGGTTAAATAAAAAAAGTCTCCCAAAGAAAACCGTGAAAAAGTGAGAGCATTTTATTTTGGCGAGGTCATCAGTCAGTGCTGAATATTTTATAGCACAGCTGGATGACCTACCGCTTTCACCACCACCATCTTACATACACACGGACTGAAGATGGACAGTAGGAAACTGTACATTGTACACACACACGCCCACACACTGACAGGAGATGGGAAGTCTGTAAAGATGGCCATACACACATAGTAGCCTGCTGTTCAACTCCACATACACATGCAATCCGTGCCTGGATGGGCAAGGAGTTCACATACACACATACAGTATGCACCCAGAGTGAATAGTGCTGGTTTGAAGGGCGGAGGGGCAGGGTTGAGAGGTGACCAGTGGCCAGGTGTGGCTCTCCAATTATCTGCCTGTGCCTCTCCAAAGTACCCCTTTCACACACACTCACACACAGAAAAACATACCCTCTCACCTCAGACGCCCTTCTCATCTTTCCCCACTACACAATTAAAGCACCTTTCTGCTCCAGCACCTGGTCTCTGACTGCAGAGCAGAGAGGAAGGCAGGTACGGGTGGAGAAAGATCAAGTTAATATCTTGTTTGTATTGTATCTGCCTCTCTTGTCTGCATCATAGTCTATGTCTTTTATTTCTTCAGTTTTTATTTGAAGTGAGGTGACAGCCCATGATAGTCGAACCACATCTGTCTGTGGTGCTATTTGGCATGCCAGTGACTGCTATTTGACTTTGAAAGTATGAAATCTGTGAGGGACAGGGGGATATGGCAATGGAGGTGGAGGAGGATGGAGTGGAAGAAAAAGAGATAGAGAAGGAGGGATGTGATCAACACTGATGGGTTTGTGAAGAGGAGAATGGAAAAATGTGAAGGAGGCAGTAGAGAAAGGAGAGGTGGAGGTGAGTGGCAAAAAACTGTTAAACAAACAGAGAAAGTAATAACAGGAGCTGAACGTGACAACATTGTGAAGGATGAAAAGAAAATGGGGGAACAGGAGCAGATCAAAGCACAGAAGGGCGAGGAGTGAAATGGTGAGATGAAACAGGAAGCTGAGAAAAGACTGAGATTAAAAGTAGGAGTAGGAGTAGGTACCGTGAAGTTGCTTTCCATTCACAGGTTAGAGGTTAAGATAGCACAACACACTTCTTGTAGGACTGAAAAATGTGCTTCTCACTTGGCAGCAGCCAGACCTAGAGTCTAGAGGGGCCTGAGTATGAGGAGCACTGTCTGGCCTCCTGAAAAATGTTTTCCTTTTTCTACTTTGGATGGTAGGTTATCTGTAAGTATATGCATGACCATTTTAGTCAACAATTAGTGCAGCTTCATTTGTGTTAAGTGATTCGTTGTACCAGCTGAATGGTCTTTGGTATTTTGGTGATGTCCATGCCACAGTGAAACACACAGTAGGGTTTCACTTTAGATTTGCTGCAAAGATTGGCTGTCATTTGTTCCGTCTGCTGACCTCCTGCTTGGACGAGGTCAAGAGCAGACTATGCACAGCACACCTGTGTTTGGTGATATTGTCACTGTAATTGGTAGAAGAACCCAAGTTTAAAGCTCTCAAATTCCGCAATAAGTTTTTAGTTATGTTTTGGTAATTTGTTATGATTATGACAACACTGCCTGCAAGAAAAAATAAACACTGTCTCATTCTTACCAGTATCTCTCATACACAACCTCTAATATGCTATAATTGTTTTCCAAAGGAGCTAAGTGCATCAGGGCAGTATGGAAAATACTCCACTAAAATGTAAGTGAAACCAATTAAATGGCCAGTATAACAGGTAGTGAGTAAGAGACTTTATTAACAACACAATGAGCAGAGAAGAAGAGGACAGGTCAGTGTCTGATCTCGGGTGTGCAGGGATCTTAATAGCACCAGAGTAGCAGGGAGCCCAGGGAGGAGGAAGTGGAATGCATAACTCTCGACTGGAAAAAAAGGAGATGGAGAGGGCTGGGTGGTGATAGTTGATGCAGAGCGGGCTGGGTGCGTGAGTGGCTCTGGTGTCACTTGGGTGCATGAGGAGATGTTCCTGCTTCAGAGACAAGGCGCAGTGCAACTAGACAGAATCACTGAGGTAAGATACACTTTTTCCATCCACAGGCATAACTCTCAGTTCATAGGCAGAGTGACTCCAGAAATCCAGAGGCAGAAAATATATACTGTATATATCTCACAGTCTTTACAAGGGTAAGGTAGTGGTGTCGTCAAAAACAAATCACACTAATATTACTTACTGTAGTCTTTGTGGAGCAGGGCAGGGAAAAAACTAGATATAAAAATCCAAAGATCTGGTTCAGGTTTCACAAAGATACCACAGATTCAGGCTGGCTGGAGTG